TTAATAGAATACCACTTAAATATAAGATACATATTCTACTGTGTTTTAGATAAGTAATAATAAAGTGTTCACTTAACTGTAAATGGTAAAATTTTATCTTTTGGGGGAAGAGTTTTTTCTTCTTTTAATAACATCACCTGTTATTTTCCTACCGTTAAGAGGACTATTTCACAATTTCTGTATAATCACACTAAAATTGAAAATATGTCCATACCATATCCAATAAATCATCACTGTTTTGAAAAATAAGTTTCCTAAAAATTTTATATGTAAAAAATATTTACATTCCTGAAAGGCACCTTTAAAAAAATATCATTTCCATTTTTAAACAAATATTTTTCATAGAATTCCCACCTAGATGCATAACTGGCACATGTCACAGTCCCCATATTAGCCAACTCTGCTTTAATATTTACAAGATGTAAGTGCGTGCTTCAAGTCATCCTCACTTTCAGAAAGCAAAGTTGTGTCATAGGCACAAAGCAAGACTCTTTTTCCAATCCTGATGCCACGTTCTTCTTCATATAGTCCAGCTCCCTGATGTTTTTTAGAAGACATTCTCAAAATACTTTTTATTTATTTATTTTTATTTTAAAAAATTTTTATTGTGATTTGGGTGAAAGTTTACAGAGCAAATTCACTTTCCATATAGCAGTTCACATACACTTTGTCTCATGCCATTGACTACAATTTACCCAATGCAACAGCTCAAAATACTTTTATGTTAAATTATGGCCCACATATTTTTGCTTGCCATGAGCGAATGTTTTGTTTTTCATAAGACTACTTAATAGATGTTCTACCAAAAGCATATTTACCATAAATTTTCACATAAGTAAATATATATATACATACCAAACCAAACCAAACTCACTGCCGTCGAGTTGATTGCAACTCACAGTGACCCCTCCTTGGGTTTCTGAGACAGTATCAATATGGAAGTAGATTGCCCAATCTTCCTTCTGATAATTAGATTTTCCAAGTTTTAAAGGAATATGTTACTGAATGGAGTGACATTTAGCCTGGAAACTAATGAAAATGAAATCAGCTCTATTGATCTTGTAAAATTGTTGTCTATACACCAGTGCTGGTGTGATTATCATCATATCCAAACATTGAAGAACAGCTGCAAGAAACAAGGCTAAATAAGGCCAAATAAGCACCATCTTGTGGTCATACTAACCTGATTGCAGTCAAAATTGCCTGAAGAGTATCTTCAGGGCAGTAGTTGCCAATTCAGCTGCCAACCAGATAATGTAAGTTGGAGACATGGGTGGGTGAGAGTAAAATTAATTATTGGGATATATACAATTTCTCTCCAGCTTGTGAATATCATGTAAGCATATAATATGAAATAAACAGAATAAAAACAAAAACTAAACCCAATAGCCATTGAGTCAATTCCAACTCATAGTGACCCTATGGAACAAAGTAGAACTACCATATAAGGTTTCCAAAGCTGTAAATCTTTATAGAAGCAGACTACCTCACCTTTCTCCCATGGAGTGACTGATGGGTTCAAACTGCAGACCTTTTGATTAGCACCCAAATACCTTAACTACTGCACCACCAGACCTCCTTAAACAGGATATAGAAGAATGCATTTTAAATTCAGAATGGAACTGGAAATGTAAGTTGTGTGATACATGGCCCCCTGGGAATGATGAGTTTTATGACAAACTGCACAGCTGATCCTTAGCTTCAATTGATTGTTGTCATTCACGTCTATTGCTACAAGATCTTTCAGTTTTCCAAAAGAACCTAGAAATCTGGGTTTGTGTATGAAATCTAATAAATCTAATTTGAATATGTGGATTTTTTTTTTTTTTTTTGAGATGCCATATGTCTCCAACTTAAATAATTGTGGAGTCCAGGGAGACAGCTCAGGGGGCAGGAGAGTATGGAGGGATGGACACTGGGAAGAGGTAACTATGGGGAGGAAGTGGGAGGTGAGCTGTTGCATTGTGGTAAACTGTGGTCAATGACATGAGACAAAGTATATGTGAACTGCTGTATGGAAAGTGAATTTGCTCTGTAAATCTTCACCCAAATCAAAATAAATAATAATAATAATAATAATAATTATGGAGTCACATTTCACGTAGGACCTATTGAAACTTCTCTTTCAAATTGTGTCTTGAATATTTTAATCTCATTTTTTCCAGAGGAAAGAAAACTTGTGGACATCTTTCAGGAACATTGTGAAAAGAGTGGAAAATATTTATTGAATCATTGCTAGATTGGACCTTTATTGAACAACAGACAGTATTCAAGATGCTATAAATAGCAAGATTATAGCTATGAATAAGAAGACTCTTTCTGGTTTTCCCCAGTGCTGTACTTAAATGCTGTATTTAAATGATGTAAGGCCTAAGGCATTTTACTGCTAGCCAGAAGGTTGATGGTTCAAACCCACCAGCCACTCCTTGGAAGGAAGATTGGGCAATCTACTTCTGTAAGATTTACCGCCTTGGAAACCCAAAGAGGGTTGCTATGAGTCAGAAATGACTTGGCAGTGAGTTTGGTTTTTGGTTTGGTATAGGGCCACTTTCTGCAAGGATTGCACACTACGGTGTTTGGATATAACTTTCTAGTGTTTATCTTGGTTCTTGAGGTCCACGTAGAATTTAAGTTCATGATTTATATTACTTTGGTTATCTTTCTTACAACTTTCTGTTAGGCAGCTTTGTGTTCTTAAAAAAAAAATAGCACTAGGTTACAGAGTTTGCAGTATAGTGGAGAATAGAACACTTGAGAGCACTTAACCTTCATCACATCTTTACCCCTTTGCACAGAAAAAGTGAATAGAGAGAAAAAAGAAGAATGGGCAGGATGCAGAATCCTTTGAATTTGCTGAGAAAGTAAGGGAGTCAGGGTGAAATGAAAGATACCACAAACAGCCATGTGGCCTAATTCTTCTCTGGAGACTCTTCTGTTCATTATTTTGAGCATCCAAGTTCAAAGGCGAGCCGTAACCCTTCCAGTTGCCTGCTGGGCCTTATAGGCCCATTGACTTTGTGACTTACAGTTTTCCCTTTTTCTGCTGCAGTTTTCCTGGTCTTTTTGCTCTTTTTCAATCACATGATGTATGATCCCTAATACATCTTTGTAATGGTGTTTCCTCTGTCTAAAACAGTATTGTATTCACAGATATCAACTTATTTTCAACCTTCTACCTATCTTGTCAAAAGGTCACTATCTCAATGAAGTCTAGTTTGATCATCCCTTTGAGAATTATACCTATTCCTTCCCTTATACTACATTCTTAAACTTGTTCCTCTCCTTTTTTTCCACCTATAGCACTGATTGGGAGCTCTGGTAGCCTAGTGCCTAAGGCACTTGACTGCTAACCAGAAGGCTGGCAGTTCACACCCACCCACTCCTCGGAAGGAAGATGGGGCAATCTACTTCCGTATTGATACTGCCTCGGAAACCCAAGGAGGGGTCGCTGTGAGTCAGGTCTGACTCAACAGCACATAATGACAACAACATAGCACTGATTGCTTTTTAATGTGATATATTATTTGCTTATTATTTATTGCAATATTCTATCTGCTTTAATAATAAACACTTGAGAGTAGAGATCTTTGTTTCCTAATATATCAGATATTAGTGTTTGGCATATAATAGTTCCTGAATATAGAGTTGGAATACCTATAATGGTATCTAGACTACACAATTTACTAGCTCTCTTATTAGGTATTTATTATCTTTGAGCCTCATTTACATTATCTTTAAAATGGGAAATTAATTTTCACCTTCTTATTCAGTTAAATGAGGGCATATTTCCCATAGCCTTTTATAATTGCCTGAAGGAAAATATCTTGCCTGAAGGAAAATTATATCATGTATGGATTTATACAAAAAAAAAAAAAAAAAACTCATTGCCATCAAGTTGATTCTGACTCATAGCGAAACCTGTGGGTTTCCAAGGTGGTAAATCTTTACAGAAGTAGATTACCCAGTCTTCCTTCCGTGGAGTGGCTGAGGGGATTGAACTGCCAACTATCTCTATTGTATATTTATTACTAGTTGTTGTTGCTGTTGTTATGTGCCATCGAGTCGGACCCGACTCATAGCGACCCCTCCTTAGGTTTCCGAGGCAGTATCACTACAGAAGTAGATTGCCCAACTGTCCTTCCAAGGAGTGGCTGGTGGGTTTGAACCGCCAGCCTTCTGGTTAGCAGTCAAGTGCCTTAGGCACTATGCTACTGGAGCTCCATATTTATTACTAGAAACTGTAAAAACACACATTGAATGGAAAAATAACTTTGTTGAAAATGTTCAGGGTAGGAGCTTTGTATAAATAATATAGAAAACTGTAAGGAAGAAACTGGCTCGAGGCATTGAAAAATAAAGAATATAAAGTTGGAATACCTATCATGGTATCTAGACTACACAATTTACTAGCTGTCTTATCTTGGTTAGCTATTTATTTTCTTTGAGCCTTAGTTACATTATCTTTAAAATGGGAATAATAATAATAATATAATCTGCCCTATTTGCCTTATAAGCTTATAATGATTTTTGTTTTCTATCTTGACACATACTTGTTTCCTTCAACAGGTAATTCTGCATATATCTAAATTTGTAATTACTTCATTGTTCTGTTTACTTGACTGATTCATCTTTTAGAATATAAACTCTACATGGGAAAATTATATCTTTCTTATTCAATATTATATTTCCAACTTTAAACAGAGCACCTGGCACAAAGTAGTTTCTCATAAAATATGCTGTGGAATGAATAATTTAACAAATTTAAGCCATGTAGTCAATATGGCTTAATAATAGTAAGTTGATTTTAATCATTTATTATAATACAAATCCTTTATTGTTTTCACCATCTACATCCTCATCATATCATCAAATATGTTTTACTTTTGCTTTTTTAATCAAGTAGCAAGAGAATGATCATCTTCTGGTATTACTGCTTTAATTTAGAAATTTAGTGAAATAACACAGAAAGCAACCTTCCTCATCTAATGATTTTGTTACAGGTCTCTAAGTTGGCTGGTGTTTTGGTCAAATATGGCATCGAGAAAGGTGACACTGTGGTCATCTACATGCCCATGATCCCACAGGCCATGTACACCATGCTGGCATGTGCAAGGATAGGAGCCATCCACAGTCTCATATTTGGGGGATTTGCATCCAAAGAACTAAGTAGTCGCATTGATCATGTAAAGGTAGGTCTTTGATCTGGGGGAACTCAACTAATTGCTATATATGTTGTTGTTAATTGTTGTCAAGTTGATTTTGAGTCAAGGCAACTTGTTTATAACAGAACAAAATGTTGGCGAATCCTGTGCCAAGTAGCCACCTATAGTATAACCATATTTATCTGTAGGTGAATCATCTGAGAGTGAGTTCCTCTTTTTAGATTTTGCTTTTAAGTGGGATAATTAAAACTTACTTTTCATTTGGCATGCATATCTATAATAAAATAATTACTTTATATGTGAAAGACGTCTTGCTAGGTACTATGAGGAATTTGACATGTGAGATAGCTTGCATGCCTTTGAAGTTAGCTTGATATATATTGGGCTATATGAAACATACAAGAAAAAAAATAACAAATTCAGTCACGTAATATATATTTATTAAGCATTCACTATGTGCTTGACACCATCACTGGCACTGGATAATAAATGAGACTTGTCTAATTGATGAGACACATGACTAGTTTTACAATCTCTATATTGCCAGGGGTAGTTTGTAAAGCACAGCTGTTAAGAGGGAGGGGGTGGGGGAAAGAGTCACATGTGTAATTGTGGTACTAAAGTAGCAAACTTACAAGGTTGTTGTTGAAGTTAAAACAGTAGAGTGTCTGGCACATAGTACCATTAAAAAATGTTTGCTGTTATTATTATAAGAATTTAGAGCATTGTTTCACAAATACTTTCTGTAAAAGGATGGAAAGTAAATATTTTAAGCTTTGCTGGTGACTGTGTTTCCATCACAACTACTTGGCTCTGCTATGTGGAAGATATATAAACAAAAGGGTGTGTTACCCCACCCCCCAATAAAACATTAACAGGCTGTGGGCCATGTTTGGTTTGCAAGCCATAGTTGGCAGATCTCTAATTTAGAGATAGAAGCAATTACGTTTTATTGGGGAAAGAAGGATCACTTCCTGAAGGAGGTGAGATTTGTAATTGAGGAGAATGGCAATGTTCAAGAGCTGAGAAGAAGGGTATGAGTTAGAGATTGGAATTAGGAAAGTGTTAAATTCATTTGGAAGAACAATGTGTAGACCACAGTATGGCTGAACAGTAAGAGAAAGGGAGATTGCAAAGGCAGTTTTAATCTGAGCTAGATTCTGTAGACCTTGACCAGTCAAATGTTTATGAGCAGGGGAGGAAGTGTCATGGTTTAAGCAACATTAAGAGAAGCCAATACTTCCAAGAATGAGGTGAGTGGGAGAGATGTCAGAGGTATGAATAAGAACTTATAGTAGTTGGTCTGTGTGTGAAGCAGTGAGCAATGTGGAGGAGAGTAATGGCAATGGGAAAATCAAGGCAGTAAGGTGATTGTAGAAGTTAGGGATGGCTGACCTTTAGAGTTTTGTGATTCCAAGGAGACTCTTGGAACAGGCTGGGTAAGCAATCCCTAGTATGGAGAGTAGCTAAAAGCAAATGGAATAAATGACAAGATAAAAGGGCTGAACAGAAGATTTCAAAGAGCAGTTCGAGAAGACAAAGTCAATTATTATAATGGAATGTGCAAAGATCTGGAGTTAGAAAACCAAAAGGGAAGAACACACTTGACATTTCCCAAGCTGAAAGAACTCAAAAAAAATTTAAGCCTTGAGCTGCAGTATTGAAAGGTTCTATGGGAGATACATTAAATGATGCAGGAAACATCAAAAGCAGATGGAAGGAATACACAGAGTCACTGTACCAAAAAGAATTGGTCAATGTTCATCCATTTCAGGAGTTGGCATATGATCAAGAACCAATGATTAAAGGAAGAAGTCAAAGCTGCACTGAAGGAACTGGCAAAAAACAAGTCTCTAGGAATTGATGAAATACCCACTGAGATGTTTCAACAAACGGATGCCCCGCTGGAAGCCCTCATTCAGCTATGCCAAGAGATTTGGAAGACAGCCACTGGCCAACTGTGGTGGTTATGTTTCTGCGTCAACTTGGCTGGGCCTGGTTGAGTGGCTGGACAGCTGGTGGTAGTTATTCCCCATAATGAGACTGGCAATCAACTCCATGGTGGGATCTACCACAAGCAGCTGAGTAGCTGTCTTTGGGATGTGAGTCTGCTTCCTGTATACAAGGAGAAGCCTTGGGAATGGTCTCTAACCTATGACATGCTTGGACCCTGTATGTAGCTATGTCATTGTTCAGCAGCCTGCCATACTCTGCCGACCTTGGGACTTAAAATGGACTTGAATTAGTGGCCTGCCACGTGGTTTAGTAACATTGGGACTGTGCCTTTTTACTTGTCAACCTTGGGTTTGTCAGTCTCAGGGGCCAGCAACTGTCTGAGTGAAGAAATGCCTCCAGCTCTGGTGGGTTGGAAGCAGCAGGCAAAGCTGGACCCTAAGGTTGAGGGGCTTTCACCCAGCCCCTAGAGCCTGGAACTTTGAACTTGGACTTAAAGCCTCCACACTGTGAGAGAATTAACTCCTGTTTGTTAAGGCCATCTCATTTGTGGTATATTCTTGTCAGAGCAGCACTAGGTAACCAGAACAACAACTGACTGGAAGAGATCCATCTTTGTACCCATTCCAAAGAAAGGTGATCCCACAGAATGTGGAAATTATCAAACAATATTATTAATATCACATGCAAGAAAAAGCTTATTGAGGATAATTCAAAAACGGTTGTAGCAGTATATTAACAGAGAACTTCCAGAAATGCAAGCTGGATTCAGAAGAGGACATGGAACGAGAGATGTCATTGCTAATGTCAGATGGATCTTGGCTGAAAGCAAAGAATACCAGAAAGATGTTTACTTGTTTTTTTTATTGACTATGCAAAACATTCAATTGTGTGGATCATAAGAAATTATGGATAAAATTGAGAAGATTGGAAATTCTGGAACACTTAATTATACTCATGAAGAACCTGTATATAGACCAAGAGGCTGTCATTTGAACAGAACAGGGGGATACTGCATGGTTTAAAATTGGGAAGGGAGTGTGTCAGAGTTGTATCCTTTCACCATACTTATGCAATCTGTATGCTGAGAAAATAACCAGAGAAGCTGGACTATATGAAGAAGAATGTGGCATCAGGATTGGAAGAAGACTCATTAACGACCTGCAATATACAGAGGACACAACTTTGCTTGCTGAAAGTTAGGATGACTTGAAATAATTACTGTTGAAGATTGGAGACGACAGTCTGCAGTATGGATTACACCTCAATATAAAGAAAACAAAAATCCTCACAACTGGATCAGGAAGCAGCATTATGATAAATGGAGAAAAGATTGAAGTTGTCAAAGACTTCATATTGCTTGGTTCTACAATCAACACCAATGGAAGCAGCAACCAAGACATCAGAAGACATATTGCCTTGGGCAAATCTGCTGCAAAATACCTGTTTCAAGTGATGAAGAGCAGAGATGTCTCCTTGAAGACATCTTGTCTAACCCAAGCCATGGTATTTTTAATAGCCTCATATGCAAGTGAGAACAGAGCAATGAATAAAGAAGACCAAAGAAGAGTTGATGTTTTTGAGTTGTGTTGGGGAAGAGTACTGAAAGTACCATGGACTGCTAAAAGAACTAACAAATCTGTACTGGAAGAAGTACAGCTGGAATGGTCCTTGGAAGTGAGAATGGCCAGGCTTCATCTGACCTACTTTGGTCATGTTGTCAGAAGGGACCATCCTCTGGAGAAGGATATCATGCTTGTAAATTGGAGGGTCAATGAAAGAGGAGTAGGCCCTCAACAAGATTGATTGACATGGTGGCTGCAGCGATAAGCTCAGGTAGAGCAGGGATCGTGAGGCTGGCACAGGACTAGGTAGTGTTTCGCTCTGTTGTACATAATGTTGCTATGAGTCAGAGATGAGTCGATGGCACTTAACAGCAACAAGAACAGCAAAGAGACTCTTAACAGGAAAGATAATTAATATCTACTGAGGGTTATCTGAAGGAGCTCTGGTGGTATAATGGTTAAGGCATTTGGCTGCTAACCAAAAGGTCGGTAATTTGAACCTAACAGCTGCTCTGGTGATGTAGTGGTGGTATAGTGCCTAAGGCATTTGACTGCTAATCAGAAGGCTGATGGTTCAAACCCACCAGCCACTTCTCGGAAGGAAGGTTGGACAATCTACTTCCGTAGTGATGCCACCTCGGAAACCCAAGGAGGGGTCGCTATGAGTCGGGGTCCGACTCGATGGCAGTGAGGGGGAGAAGGTGCTCCATGGAAGAAAGTTGGAGCAAGCTTCTTTTGTAAAGATTTACAGCCTTGGACTGGATGGCAGTAAGTTTGGTTTGGTTTGGTTTTTTGGATGGTCATCTGAATGCTAGACAAATAGAGAAGTTTTGTATATTTTGCTTTGTCTGGTAATAGATTGGTTATTAGAACTAAGAGCCTGATTTATAGATTAACCAGAGGAATTCCATTTTTAACTATCAGCTTAATTTAGGGCTAATGAAGGGAAATCTAAGGGAAAATCTCCAGGTAGAAGCAGATCTGGAAAGCAGCACGGCAGGCTGGGGACTGCAGTCGAGGGCGTGTTCGCTGTGGAAGATACAAACTCAAAATCTTTGTGCCACAGAAATTTCAAACACAGTTTATTTTCTTCCCTTTGAAATTGTATAAAATTGAGGTATACGAAAAATTAGGATTTATAAAATTTATGCAACAGCTGGAGACATTTTCATGTATATGTACATATGTGCATGTGTGTGTACACACACATATAACTTATTTAAGTAGTTTAGGCAATAATACATATTCTCATGAGCAAGATCTTTGAAAAGAAAAGATTAGCAATTGGATATAGAGATACACGTTTGATTTATTTGAATAGAATTAATAGTTAAAATCAGGAGAGATTGAGATGTCATCATTTTGAAACAAAAGCTGATGAGAAAGCTTTATTTTAACAGGTGAATTTGGAAATAATATATTCTGGTTAATCAGTTCAGATAAAAATGTATATACTTTAATAAAAGACTGTTAGCAGAAATATGAATGAATTGTTTTTCTGGAGGAAGCATCTAATTTTGGCTTTACAAAATTATTCTAGCTAGTCCTAATATATTCTATATATGTTCATAATTTGTTCAGAATTCTAACCTCTTAGTGAATTTTATCTGAATCTATGTTTGAAAATATAGATACTACAAAAAAAAAAAAAAAATGCCAAAAAACCAACTGCTGTCAAGTCAATTCTGCCTCACAGTGATCCTATAAGACAAAGTAGAACTGTCCACAGGGTTTCCAGGGGTATAAATCGTTACGGAAGCAGATGGCCACATCTTTCTCCTGTGGAGTGCCTGGTGGGTTTGAACCTCTGACCTTTCAGTTAACGGCCAAGGTCTTTAGCAACTGTGGTACCAGGGCTCCTGTAGATACTACAAGGTGAAATATATTCAAATGTCTGACCTTTAAAATATAATGAAAGGAAACAAGACATTTCTTTTTCATTTTTATTTATTTTAAAAGACAGTTTAATACAGTGGAAGAAAACAGAGTGTTCTGCAATCGCACAGAGCTGAGCCCTCTTCCTGATCCCACCACTTGTTACCTGGGCAAGTTGTACAATGGTACTGAGGCTAATTTCCAGGAATATTAAAACATATCCCAAAAAAAGCAGAAAGTATTACATATAAATATATTTCACATAGTGGAAACCTTCCCTAGATGAAGTGTATTTTATCTAGACATAAGAATTTAGTAATAGATGCAATATCTTGGATTGATTATCTGTCTCCTGAACAGTTTTTATCTGCTTCCTTTGCTTTGGATTTCTTAGTAAAGAAACAATGCAGTTAAAAGAATAAAGGCATATTTGTTTCCAAAAATCAATGAGAGTTTTTGTTCAGTTTCACAAATATTTATTGAGAGCTGATTGTGCAGCTAGCACTGAATCAGGGAAAAGAGAGAAAAAGATAAAGGGATCCAAACTTGGCTGTGGAGAGTTTACTGTGCAATGCTGGAGACAAACATTTTTGCACATAATTGGATATCTGAGGCATGCTCAAAATGTACCAAAGAAGAGAATTAGCCCAAACTGGGGTTCCCTCCAGGGATACTTTCCTGGGGGGTGGGTACACTGTGCTATGTTTTAAAGAATGATTAGGAAGTTGTCAGATGAAGAATTTGATGCCAAGTGTATCTTAATGATGGGGAGAGATACCGATATTTTGGAACCTGAAGTTTAAATCATTCGAGAGTCTTTTAAAGAGAATTATTATAAAATTATAAATGTAATATATGGTAAAAACGAATATGTATTTAAAATAAGAAAAGAAATAATTGTGCCTAAGGCATTTGACTTCTGATTAGAAGGCTGGTGGTTCAAGCCCACCAACCACTCCTCAAAAGGAAGACTGGGCAATCTACTTCCATAGAGATACCACCTTGGAAACTCAAGGAGGGGTTGCTATGAATCAAATCAACTCGACAGCAATGAGTTTTTTTTTTTTATTATTTTGTTATAAATATATGGATATTTTATAAATCTCATATATATATACATACATATGTATCTATGTACATATGTGTGTATGTGTGTGTATGTGTGTGTGTGTGTGTGTGTGTGTATGAGTGAGAGATTTGGGTCCATTTCTTCTGAGATCTCTTCAGGCATTTTGCTAGAGATTCTTACAAAGAAAAGCTCGACATGTAATTGGGCTGCCCTCTCCCACCCCCAGCTGACATTGCTCCAGAAAATTAAAACTTGAGCAACAATGAGATCTTACAAGGGCTTAGGCAAGGCAGGGCACTGGCATACATTATGTTACTTTATAGTAAATTCACCTCTCTTCATGACTTCTTTGAAAGATATTTTTATACAGCTCATAGTTACGGAGGAAACACATCACTGAATTAACTTTGAACAGATTACTGAAAGTCTATGTAACTATGTAGACATAGTTAGCTATATAACATTTAAAAGGAATTTATTGATTTTCAGGCCCTTTGTTCAGTGGAGAACAGAATCATTCAAACATTTCTTTAAAAAATGTGAAACTACCACTCTGTATGTGAAATATTGTGACTGCCTTAATTAGGAGCTCGACTACTAAGCTTGCTCAATAATAATTTTTTTTTCATTGTAGCCCAAGATGGTTGTAACAGCATCATTTGGCATTGAACCTGGAAGGAGGGTAGAATATATACCACTTCTAGAAGAAGCAGTGAGGATAGGACAACACAAACCAGACAAAATTCTCATTTATAATCGTCCGAATATGGTAACTTCAGTATTGAATCTTGTTGTTTTTATTGTAATGTGCTAAGGATGATTCAAGTTTTGACCCTTTGAAAGGGGCACTTGCTTTATAATAAACTTCATAAATATTGTTGCCATTTTCTTCCCCTCCCCAGAAAACAGATGTGATTTATATTTAGTGTCTTTATAAAAACTGGCTTAAAATAAAAAAGACTGAAACAGAGATCCATGTAATACTAATGAATTGGGGATCTATGTATAGTGCTCTTATGATGAGTATCATTTATTAGTTAAATTATAACAATAATGATGATGATGATGATGATGATGAGCAATACTTACTGCTTACCATGTGATTTTTAAGACACTCTGCTATGGGTGGGCTAGGTGATATTATTATCATGGTTCCTGTTATACAGAAGAGGAAGGCACTGACAGATAAATAATTTGCCCAGAGTGTTACAATTAGTTAGTGCCAGAGTCGTGATTTGAGTGCATGTACTTTGATTGCATAATTAATTTCTCTGTTATCCTGTCTCTTAGTGAGATGTGATTATCTGTATGTAATATATCTTCTAAAAAAATTTATAAAATATATTTAAGCAAGAAATAAAACTATGTTCAGGAAAACAAAATATGAATCTTCTAAACAGATAAATTATTCTGTGACCCATGAAGGAAAAGATAGTATAATTCATAAATGAATACATTTTACAGTTCTTCCTGATAAACTTGACATGATGATCACCTTATTTCCATATCCAAGTAAGTCTCCATTTACTCATGGTGGGATCAACTAGAGTTTCTAAAGGATAAAAATTGTTTTGCAGAAAGGAAATAACAAGAATGCAAATAATAATGTACAATTTTATGGAGCTCTTGAGAGGTTATCTGCAGAAAATACTTAAATGACAAAAGTACTGAGAGCAGAGAGTGGTAAGACTATGTCATTTTGATTACCACCTGGCAATTACCATTTACCACATTAAATTTTTGTGTAAAGTTTTAGTAGTCTGCGGTTCATGAACTGCTATACTCAATGATTTTAATGTTCTTGCTGTCTCGAAGAAGAATTTTAAGTTTCATATGACCTCAAACATATATATATTTTTAAAGGCTTTCTTATTGTTTAAGCCAGGGAATGGAAAGTCAGCAATGAAAAAGGCTTGGGGTAAGAGAAGGTTAGAGGAATGTCGGGAGTGCATGTGCACATGCGCATGCACACACACACATTAGTTTATGTGAGTATGTGTGTACACACATATATGAGTATATGTGGAATTTACTAAGCACTTATGATGTACTAGGCTCAATGCTAATATTTTCAAACAGTTTTCCTATTTAATTTTCACAAACCAATAAAGTAGATACTATTGCTCTGCTAACCAGAAGGCTGGCGGTTCAAACCCACCAGCCACTCCTCGGAAGGAAGGTTGGGCAATCCTACTTCCGTAGTGATACTGCCTCGGAAACCCAAGGAGGGGTCGCTATGAGTCGGGGCCGACTCGACGGCAAATAACAACAACAACAACAACATTGCTAGCCCCATTTTATAAATAAGAAACTGAGTCATGGAAAGATCATAGCTGAAAGTCACAGCTAATAAATGGTGGAGCCGTGATTTGAACTCCAGCTTAGTGACTTTTAGCCGATAAAATATATGCTATATCTTCCATTCACAAATACACGTGATGGAGATATTAATGTACCCTATTCAGATTTTTTTAATCCCAATCTCTTTCCTTTCCTCTTAATAGATACCCACACTGTAACTAGCTTACTTTCTCTCTCTCTCCCTTTATCTAGACTTTTCCCTCTATTGTGTCATGTCCTCATTTTAAATGAGGGCTTAGATGTCTCTTGTCTTTCATATCAGATTTGCTGTTTAGACAATAATTAAGCCCAGTGGACTGGCTTTGCTTTGAGTTCAGATAGATGCAAATGGCAAGGCTCATGGTATGTCTCATTAACCAGATGGCATTTTTGGCAGAGGAGATAAAAACCGGGCTGCCACTTCTCAGCCTCAGGCAAGTAATGGCAGAATCAAAGGAATATTATATCAGGGAACTTCAGGTGCTTTCCCAGTATTGCCTTAAATAATTGTATCAACTATAAATACCTATGTATAGAAGTAAAGTGTACATGTAAAAGCTAAATCTCCATTTTGTATCCCTGTATTTGTTAGCCTCAAAAATAACCACTCACTTAGGTCCTCATTTCAGTCGATTTCTATCATCATGGTATTGCCGTTTTCTCATTTTATAGTATGACAACATTTTAGTCTCTAATTGTGACATCAGAGGTTAATAATTTGAAACTAGTTGTTTTTATCTGATGGATTAAAATACACACAGAATATGTAACTTAAAATTAATTATTTTTATTTCTTTAATTTCACAGCAAGGACCTATCAGAAATTTGAGAAGCCAGTTGAGGCTGAGATTTTACTTTCATGATGCATTTCTAATTTAGATTGTCCTAAATGTGTTTACTTATATAGGCATCACACCTGTGAAGTTACGGTTGACCCTTGAACAACATGGGGGTTAGGGGCACCAAACACCATCCAGTCTAAAATCTGTGTATAACTTTTGACTCCCTAAAAACTTAGCTACTAATAACCAGAAGCTAACTACTAATGATGAGAAGCCTTACTGATAACATAATACAAATGCAACACACTGCCATCGAGTTGGATCCTACTCATAGTGACACCTCCTTGGGTTTCCAAGCCAGTATCACTATGGGAGTCGATTACCCAACCTTCCTTCCAAGGAGTGGCTGGTAGGTTTGAACTGCCAGCCTTCTGGTTAGCAGTCAGATGCTTTAGGCACTATGCCACCAGAGCTCCTACTGATAATATAAGCAGTTGATTAACAAAATTTTTGCTCTACAGTTGTCAGATTTTCACATGAAGACACATACAAAACAAATAAGTTTATTAACTATATGGCATGATGATTACTTACTGTTAAGTAAGTAGAAGTAGATCATAAAGGTCTTCATCATTATAATCTTCACACTGAGTAGTCTGAGGAAGAAGAGAAAGACAAGGGGTGGGTCATGCTGTGTGTGGTGGCAGAGGCATAAGAGGTGAAGGAGGTAGAAGGGGCAGTAGGAGAGGCAGGAACACTCAGTGTAAATTTATGAAAATGCATCATAATTTCTGTCTGACTTTTCTCCTTTTTAATTTCTCTAGAATTATTTCCTTATGGAATCAATCCTTCTTCCACCATTTGCTTTAATTTCAGTGTCCATATCATAGAAGGATATGATATGATACTTTAATTTGTGTCCATATCATCCATGTCATAAAAAAGTCAGAAGAAATCTTGAATAATTGGAATCTTTCTGCCACGTGGTCAAATGTTGAGGTCAAATGTCAATTTGTTTCCTGACACTGCTTCTACATCTTTTTCCTGATTGTCTGACACTGGTTCAGAAGCATTCATCTCCATCAAGTTGTCTTCTGTCAATTCCTTTGGTGTGATGTCTATTGTTGTTGTTGTTATGTGCTCTTGAGTCGGACCCAACTCATTGTGACCCCTCCTTGGGTTTCTGAGGCAGTATCACTACGGAAGTAGATTGCCCATCTTCCTTCCGAGGAGTGGCTGATGGGTTTGAACCACCAGCCTTCTGGTTAGCAGTCAAGTGCCTTAGGCATTACCTTACCAGAGCTCCTCTGATGTCTATTAGCTCTTGAATTTTTCCAGGATCCATATGTTGAAACAAATTTATGTGTAAGTGGACCCATGCAGTTTGAACCCATCTTGTCAAAAGGCCAACTATATATAGAAGTATTAATTTATAAATGTACTCGTTTAGATAGACAACTATTTTTTACATCTGATTAATACATTAAGAAACCTGGGAAATGGAAGTAGTCTGGCTTTTCCACATCTTTGAGAGTTTCTGGATTTAGCTCAGGGATCATCTGGGTGAAGTGAATGGTTATGTACACTTATTCTACATAGTGGATCTTACTAAATTTTCACAGAAGTATGCATATTCTTGTCTCTTTAGCCTATGTTAACACATTCAACAATGATAGACTTCCTGATGTGCGAGGACAACTTTGGATCTCAAAAGCTTAATAATGTTTTGGAAAATAACCATACATTTACTCCTTAACTATTTAAATCAGTGGAACTCTCTGTTAAAGTAATTTTTTCCATAAGCTGCACCCCTACTTTTTACCTACCTGACTTATTTCATTGTCTCATTTTATTTTTTCATTTTATTTTAAAGGATCTGTCTAACTTGTAAGGTGTATCAATTTAATTCTTAAATCTGTTATCACAAAGTTTCCTGTCCAGAGCCTAGTTCTCTGAACAACAACAACAACAACAATAAAACTTGTCATATTATTTAATGATCTAGATGCAGGAAATCTTGGATTATATTTTTAAAATATATTCTATATTCTGAATAATTTTAAAAACTGCTTTTTGTTCTTAAAATGGCAAAAATAGATTTTCCTCTACCTTTGAAGACTATTTAATATGTTTTCATTTGGAAACATGACCACAGTATTACTCCTAAATGTCACTGATATAAAGAAGAATTTTAAGGTGATAGTTGACATTTTATTGTGAAAACAGCAATTCCAAATAGGTTATAGAAAATAGAAATTAGTTTATAATGTTATTAGTGCACATGCATTTATAAAAACATGAACCTTTGTAAATTAGCTCTGTTGGCAGAAACATGTGACTGGATCTGATTGAATTTCTTAAGGGTATTCCTAGACTTGAATAAAACATATTCTTATCTTTTTTGTCAATTCAGTTAAAGCCAACATCAAACTGTTGGAAGTATTTATGAGCACTTATCTCAACTGGTGACCTTGAGAGTTTTATCATAAATCCACTGTTCAATGCCATGTAGTCCTAGCTGTTCATCGAAATACTCTGACTTATGTGAATATAAGCATTCTCTGTGTATCCCTAATTTAATCACATTTTCAGTGCATCTTCCTCTGTTTTTGGTGTGTAGGAAACGGTTCCTTTGGCTCCAGGTCGTGACCTTGACTGGGATGAAGAGATGGCAAAAGCACAGTCCCACGACTGTGTCCCTGTTCTTTCTGATCACCCCCTGTATATTCTTTACACATCTGGGACAACAGGGCTGCCTAAGGTATCTGCTTTAATACGGAAAGCTGTCTGTGGCAGAATATGTGCTTTGCATTGTGAATATTTCATTACTGACTGAAAATATTTATAGACTATATTTGAAGTTTAGACTCAGTTGCTTTACATCTTTCAAAAAACCAGGTTTACCTACAAATATAGAAAAAAATATTTATTATATTTGACGTCAAATGCTTTGCTCCAATTTTTTCCAAAATCATCATAAATATTAATAATAAAAAATTGGTTTATTAAGCTAGTAAAATTAATAGATATTTGTTGGCTTAATGACAAATTTATAAAACTGTATTTTGAATGAACTTTGTAAAAAATTGAATTGTAACATATACAGTATGGAATTGATTTTTTATCTAGGGGAATTCAGTTCTTTGTTATAAAAAAATGTAAGTTTGAGAATTGACCTAGACAGTTTGAACAACTGGCAATTTATCCAGAGGATTGAACTCTTTGATATACAGCATGAAAGATGCTTAAGAATTTTTAAATCTGTTTTTTCATGAAATGTGTTTTCATGAAACAAAGTTAAAAGCATCAATATTCATGAATGTGTCAAATATTAAACAAATGCCATCTCCGTACAGTGTCTCTGAATAATACTGTTCCTTCATATAACTTCATCAAAGCTTACAATATCATCTTTCTTATTCATCTTTGTTAGGGAATTCAGTTTTCACAGAATCATAGAATTTTTTTGGAGGGGAAGGGGTATTCACAGTCAGTAGTGTCTTTGAGGACAGTATCCTCTTTGTTAATAATGGATTTCTGTAGCATCAAAATTCTAGAAACCTAACTTGTTAAAGCTCTTTAAAAAATAATTCTATTAGATTAAAGCAACCACTTCTGTGGAGTCGGATCCAACTCATAGTGACCCCTCCTTGGGTTTCTGAGGCAATATCACTACAAAAGTAGATTGCCCAACCTTCCTTCCAAGGAGTGGCTGGTGGGTTTGAACTGCCAGCCTTCTGGTTAGCAGTCAAATGCCTTAGCTAATATGCCACCAGAGCTCCAATTTTTTGAAAAGAATAGATTATGATATTCCATATAAAACTCACTGGGTCACGGAAAGGAAAACATTTGGTAGGGAAATAATTTTTCTTGAGGACAGAGATCATGTTGTGTTATACTTTGGTCTACCATGATGTTTTCTATGTATTTAATGCTCAATTTATTTTCTGTTATTGAAGTAAGTA